GCTGCACCCATTCTGGATAATAGAGTAGACCATACTTTAAATCAGCCCTAAGTCAGGATTTTGCTTGAATTTTATAAAGCATAATCTAGTGGTCAAAGAAGTTCTGGAATAGAAATATTTTTATTAGGAATTTTACCAGAGACATTTAATAAAGAATTACAATACTTAATTGTGAACATTTTAAGAGCAGCCAGAATTGTATTTGCCAAAAACTGGAAAGGGGAGAAGATAATTACTGATGAAGAAATTATTATGAAAATGTTGGACTGTGCTGAAATGAGTAGATTGACATTTGAAATAAAAGAACAGGAAGATAAACAATATTATTTGATATGGGAGATATTTTATCAATGGTTTGACAAAAAAGTATGGAAATAAGGTAGCGTATATGAAATGCTTAAATATTTATCTTCAGTTTAAGTTTAAGTAAAGAATAATTGTTATATGATGAGATCTGGAAAATTGTAAGCACTAAATGATTTTAACCGATTGAGATGCTGTCTATAATTGTTTGTAAGGACGATATTTTTATGTTGTTGTTGTTTTATTTTATTTTTTTATTTCAATCTAAAATAAAACTTTTTTCAAAAAGAAGAAGAAGAAGAAGAAGTTCTGGAATAGATGGTGTGCCCTTATATATAATAGCAAAGAATTGAAGACTATCTTGCTGGAGAAGAGGCTTATAAACATAAAGATATTTTGATTTGGGTTCTTGCATTGAGCAATATTTTGATTTGGGTTCTTGAATTGAGCAATATTTTGATTTGGGTTCTTGAATTGAGTAATATTTTGATTTGATTCTTGCATCGAGCAATATTTTGATCTGGGTTCTTGCACTGGGAAATATTTTGATTTGAGTTCTTGCTCTGAGCAATATTTTGATTTGAGTTCTTGCACTGAGCAATATTTTGATTTGGGTTCTTGCACTAGGAAATATTTTGATTTGGGTTCTTGCTCTGAGCAATATTTTGATTTGGGGTTCTTGCATTGAGCAATATTTTGATTTCGGTTCTTGCACTGAGTAATATTTTGATTTCAGTTCTTGCACTGAGCAAAGGGTAGGACTCATACCCACTGTATAATCAGATGCAAGTTTCTTTTCATTCTTTACACTTTGCTTCTTATCATGTCCTTAATGGCAGGCTATTAAAGTGTGATATTAAATCCATTCTGAATGCTTGGGATCTGAATTGTGTCAGTGTTTGAATAACAAAACAAGCGGAAAGATAATGATGGAAAGAACAGATGACTTAAAAATAGGATTAAAAATGTCAAGTAGTGATCATTTAAATAGATGAGAAGAATTAAGAAATTGCATATTGTATACTTTGTGTCTTAGAAGACAGGTCAAAAATAAATAATGTCCTATTCCTTGATCATTAATTTGTTTACTTTTAGGAATGTGCATATGTGAAAATTGCTCTATTCTTACCTTTGTTAAGTCTCTCTTAAAAAAAATAATTAAATATAAAGATCAAAGCAAAAAAATATTGATTGATAAAACAAGGAGAGAATCCCGCCAGCCTAATATATGTTAATATGTGATCACAGGCACACTTCCTGGGGTATATTTTGTATTGAATATAAAAAGTGGTAATTTTAGTCAATCATAAACAGAATTTCACTGTCAATTGCCCTGATGGTTAAGGAGGAAGGTCTCCACTTAAGTTTATAATTGAAATATTTGTACAGTACAAGCTACTTCAAAGAATTCATATATTGAATTAGATGGAATGTACTTTCTTTCCTAGGGGGTGGAAAATATGTAATTCTGTCTTCATAGAGGGGCTCTTTCAAATTTTAAAACGGAGCTACAGAAATCATGTAAAGGATAGATTTTGGAGCTTTTCAAATCCCTTTGTACTACCAGTTGCATAGAAGATGCTGGATCTTGCAGTTGTGTGTCAGGTTTCCAAGTAATGAAACCCATTCAAAAAAGGAATATGCAAAATATGCAAAGAGTGCAGAGAAGAGCAACAAAGATGATTAGGGGACTGGAGGCTAAAACAGATGAAGAACGGTTGCAGGGACTGGGTATGTCTAGTTTAATGAAGAGAAGGACTAGGGGAGACATGATAGCAGTGTTCCAATATCTCAGGGGCTGCCACAAAGAAGAGGGAGTCAAGCTATTCTCCAAAGCACCTGAGAGTAGAACAAGAAGCAATGGGTGGAAACTAATCAAGGAGAGAAGCAACTTAGAACTAAGGAGAAATTTCCTGACAGTGAGAACAATTAATAAGTGGAACAACTTGCCTCCAGAAGTTGTGAATGCCCCAACACTGGAAATTTTTAAGAAGATATTGGATAACCATTTGTCTGAAGTGGTGTAGGGTTTCCTGCCTGGGCAGGAGGTCGGACTAGAAGACCTCTAAGGTCCCTTCCAACTCTCTTATTCTATTCTATTCTAAGTCCATCGTCCAAAACAAATTTATTTTATTTAGGTAGGCATCAAATTGGCAATGACTGTTGTAAATTCGGATCTGACACAAACCAGAATTACACGACATAATATTGAAAATTAGAACCGTCCCTCAAAAGTCATATTCCCCAATAGAAGCCAAATCAATATTGTCCAATGTCTTCAAACTCCAGTTCTCAGCAAGGACAGCCTCCGTTCCCATGGGAAAGAAGACCACCTAGCCAAAACAATGTTCATTATCTATTTCCTCCTCCCATCTTAAGAATGTGGCGAGCCCCCCCCAAAAAAACCCCTTACAAAACAGAGAGAAAGAAAAGGAATAAATGAATATAATATGAAGCTAGCTAAAATGGCTACACGTATGGCAATTTTGGGTTTGACATTGAGATCATTGTCACAGTTGTACGATTGTGACATGTTACATCTCAAAGTGTTTCCACTTTGGCGCTCATCTTTTTGTGTGTATATTGTGTGCTCTAACTGAGCCATGTGATTAGGAAGCAGGAAAGCTGAGCATGGGGTAAGTCCATAACATTTTGAATCCATCCATTTTTTTTTCGCATCAAGATAATTTACAAGAATTTTTCCTGGATTTTTTCCCCCCTCTATGACCTCTGTCCAGATCAAATCCAGGATTTGGACACTAAACTATTACGTTCCATTTTTCATTTTTGATTAATAATATTTTTGCTTAAAAGATACCTTTCATCACGCCTTAAAAACATTATTATTCCAACAATCAGGGCTTTTCTAAATAATAATAACATTTTACTATTTTAAATGGGTTGTTTTATTAGAGTTTTTTGGCCAATTTATTTAATTGTTTTAAATTGCTTTTAATTTTTATATTGTCACGGTTTTATTTTTGGCTGTACACCGTCCTGAGTCCTTCGGGAGAAGGGCGGTATAGAAATTCAATAAAATAAAATAAATAAAATAAATCTTTACACAGAATTCCAAATGTTGTGGGTTGTGGAATGCTGAGTTTTTAATTACAAAACTGGCTGTGCATATCAATTTTTTAAATTTCTTGGTGATCCAATTATCAAAAACATTAAAAAGCGAAAGTTAGAATATTTCGGACATGTGATGCAACAGCCAGAAAAATACACCATTCTTTACTTAATCCTCCAAGAAAAGATTGAAGGCAAATGAGGTTCAGGCAGAAGAAGAACATAGTGGCTTCAAAATCTAAAGGACTGATTTGGAGAAGAAGAAGAAGAAGAAGAAGAAGAAGGAGGAGGAGGAGGAGGAGGAGAAGCAGAAGCAGAAGGAGAAGGAGGAGAAGGAGAAGGAGAAGGAGAAGAAGGAGGAGGTAGTTATCCGATTGTCACAACTTTATCCCACTGTACATTCTTTACTATTAGTTGGTAGTGCAGTAGGGGTGGAAACTAGGCATGCCATGACTGGGAATGAATGACCTCATACAATAAAGATGGAGAAGTAATAATAGTCCCACTCTTAGAGAAACTGCTACCATAAATGAACTGCTTTTCATTTTGTGACTAGAGACAATTAGCCAGCCTCTAAAATATGAGTATGCTTCCAGTAAGTCATTAATGTATTTCTGATATTTCTAACTTCTCGGCTATAAACCTGACAGCTATCCTCATTTTATCATAATTCAGTCATTAAGTAATTTCTGACTCCTTGCCCAATGAAGCCCATTTTACACACAAAGTCTATCAAACACTGTTTCTTTCAGTTCTAACTCACTCGGGCTTATGTCCTCAATGATAGTTACTCACCCCCTTGCCTTCCATGGGCATTTTCATTTGCCAATGAAGTTTCCAAACCAGGGGTGAAATCTACTTACCTTCCCTACCGGTTCAGAAGTGTCCATATGCATCACATGCAATTTTGGACACTCTGCACATGCACAAAGCTTCCTGCACATGTGCAGAGGGTAAACAAACAGGTTACTTCCTGGTTAAAACCAGGAAGTAACGACATTGAGAGTGGGTGGAGCTTTGCACTGCTGCTGCTATCAGTTCTCCGAACCACCCACCGCCGCTGCTACCGGTTCACCCAAACTAGTGTGAACCGGTAGCATTTCACCCCAGTTCCAAGCCCTAGCCTCTTTTCCAGTATCCAAATTATCCAAAAACAATAATTAACATCATTATTAATGCTTACAATGGACCCTGATGATTTACTTTATCTAGTATTAAATGGCTTGTTCGGTATTCTCATACTGAATACTGTATTCTGATTCAGATTTTCTTTAGCGCCGCCATTCGAAAACATCATTTTTGTTTCCAATTTGTTCATCCCTTGTGATTAGCTAGCTTGCTCTCCCAGCCATATGCTACAACTAGGAAAAAAATATTGACAATATGTGCCTTTGTTGTCTTTGTGAAGTCTCTGCACTGAAATATTTTGTCAAGATCTATCATAATCTTTCTCCCAAGTAGTAGATACCACTTTGTTTTTAGAATTTTTTACTGCTACAGCATCTATTTGTATTATGTCGATATTGCTTGTTATTATCTAATGTGTGTGTTTGTATGGAGAGAGAGAAGAAACAAGAGAGAGAGAGAAGAGAGAAGAGAGAGAGAGTAAAAATGGACTTCTTCTCTACCTTTAACTAGAGATTGCTTAAGTCTTCTTCCCTTCCAGCAATCAACATCAGAATCTCAGAGGTGCTTGAAGAGAATCATCATCATCATCATCATCATCATCATCTTTTAACAACCTCATAATCCCTTGAATGGTGGAGTCTGGGCAACTGAATGAAGCTAGCAGAGTGTTTTAATTGCCAGATGCCCTTCCTGTCACCAATGGGGAGTTATATTCAGCAGATACATTCTCATTGTGCCCAGAGAAATATCTGTCTCTACCTAGGATTGAACTCACAACTTCTTGATTGTGAGGTGAGAGCTCCACCTCTAGGCCACCGTACCACTCCTAGACTCTTGAAGAGAATAAGGAATGTTATTCCTCACTCATATGTAAACCTACAGATGACTGAGGTTGAATACAAGAGTTGTATTCTTTTACAGAACATGAAAGTTTCTCATTCTTCTTAAAGCTCCCTCTCTCAGTGTTGTCCACAGGAGGAGTAACAATGTTCAAGCTGGTGGTAACCATCTTGCCAAAGCTCCCCCCTTCAGTTCCAATTGCAGTCTTCACTTTTTTTGACCTTCACCTCAATGGCATTTGCTCTCGCTGCTCAGTTGGATGTCAAGATGATGGGTTGTCATGGCCCAATCCATTTTCTCACAACTTTTTAATAATGATTTTCCAGGGGCTAAATACATCGGATTTTGGGGGTAGGTGGGTAGATCTGTCTGGATTTGCAAAATGAAGAGAGCTGTCATATACTTGCTTGCCCACAGTATCTTACTATAACCCTGAGCCACGGTGATGCAGTGGTTAGAATGCAGTATTGCAGACTACTTCTCCTGACTCCCGGCTATCAGCAGTTCGGAAGTTCGATTCTCACCAGCTCAAGGTTCAGCCTTCCATCCTTCCAAGGTCAGTAAAATGAGGACCTAGATTGTTGGGGGCAATGTGCTGACTGTGTTAACCATTTAGAGAGGGCTGTAAAGCATTATGAAGCGGTATATAAGTCAAAGTGCTATTGCTATTATGACAATCTGTGCCCAAATTTTGTCTTAGCCTTGAGATAGAGCCTAAAGCAGGAGTCCCCAGCCTCCAGGCCACAATCCATTCAGAACCCTACTTGGCCGGTGAGTACAAGAGCATGCACAACTCCACTTGAATGAGTAGCAGACGCTCATGCAGGAATCTCCATTTGTGCAAGCAGCAGGAGTGTTTAGTTTAGTTTACTTTATTATCATTGCATCTCTTACAACGGAATTAAATGCCATCTTCAGTGTACATTATAACTATAAAAAATAAAAACACAAACACACATCCTTCACATTCTATACAATTGAATTGAAAACTCCCAATATTGCATTAATATTGCACTATATGGTAGAATTCAATATAGTTACTGCCCTGGGATAGAAGCGGTTTTTCAGCCTGTTTGTCCTTGTTTTTATTGTCCTGTACCGTCTGCCAGATGGTAATAGTTCAAAAAAAAAAAAAAAAAAGGGTGCCCAGGATGAGATGGATCTTTAAGAATGTTTTGAACTTTCTTAAGGCAGCAGGAGCTATAAAGCTCTTCCAAAGAGGAGAGAGGGCAACCCATGATCCTCTGGGCAATGATGTTGACCCTCTGGAACGCTGTCCTATCTGCCACTGTGCAATTGGCAAACCACACACAGGTGCAGTAAGTTAAAATACTCTCTATGGTGCAGCGGTAGAAGGTTACCAGCAGTTTTTCATTCAATTGTTGTTTCCTGAGAAGTCTCAGGTAGTATAATCTCTGCTGGTCCCTTTTGACCAGTGCTGCAATGTGAGCGCCCCAAGTCAGGTCCTTTTATGATAACACCCAGAAATTTAAAAGTGGCCACTTGCTCCACTCGGTCTCCATTGATAAGCAAGGGCTGGATGTCTGATCTATTCTTTCTATAGTCCACTATAAGCTCCTTGGTCTTATTGGTGTTAAGGACCAAGTTATTGTCTCCACACCACAAAAGTGTGCAGCTGCCACTTGCACCAATGGAGTTGCAGACATTAGGGTGCAATTCTGGTGCTTGCACAGAGCCATTCCCTTCACGCCCCCACAAAGCTGAAAAAGTTGGGGACCACCACTCTAAAGAGTTGACTGAAAATGTGAAGGCTTGTTACGTTGTCATCTTCATCCCGTAGCTTTTCTTGGACAGACGAATTATACAGTACTGATCCTATTTGTTCTGCCTGATAATCAGAGGTTTTTTTTTTTTTCCAAATAGATTGTAAAGTTACAAAAAATATATGAACAACGGGAAAATAACAAACCAATAAAATGAAGGTAACTGATAGCACATACTATGATAAAGTACACAATTATCCCAGAATACTCCACATTCAACGTCGAAAAGGAATTATGAAAATCTAAGCATGCCTGAGAGAAAAGGGATCTTGGCCGACATGAAAAACATATCAAGGCGGCCGCCAGGTGTGAATCCTTGGGGAAGTCATTATATGATAGTTTTGTTCCACTTGGTGCTTCCTGCTTTTTAAAAGTTGATACTTGGTTCCATTCTTTTGGGATTTTCCATGGCTGTGTTCTTAATCTATTGTATTGATGAAATTGTTTTTTAAAATTTGTTCTGTGAATTGCTTTTTTTTTTATTGTAGATTTATATATCGCCCTACTCCCGAAGGACTCAGGGCGGTGAACAGGCACAAAATAAAATACATAGATACAAAAGTTAAAAAACATAATTAAAACCAGATTAAATAATTTAGTCCGAGACGATTAAAAATCCCAATAATTTAAAACAGATTAAAATTTCGATTTAAAAGAATTTTAAACAGGGGAGAAAATTAGGCCAGGCCGGCTTGCTGGAATAGGAGAGTCTTAAGAGCATGGTGGAAAGTGCGCAGATCCAGGATCCTCCGTATCTCTGGGGGGAGCTCGTTCCAGATAGTGGGTGCCCCCACAGAGAAGGCCCTCCCCCTGGGGGCTGCCAGTCGACATTGTTTAGCTGACAGCACCTGGAGGAGCCCCTCTCTATGAGAGCGTACCGGCCAGTGGGAGGCTGCTTGTGGTAGTAGGCGGTCCCGTAAATAACCAGGTCCTAAGCCATGGAGCGCTCTAAAGGTGGTGACCAAAACCTTGAAGCGCACCCAGAAAACCACCAGGAGCCAGTGCAGCTCGCGCAGGAGAGGTGTCACACGGGAGCGCCATGTTGCTCCCATTACCACCCGCGCGGCCGCACTCTGCGCCAGTTGGAGCCTCCGGGTGCTGCTCAAGGGGAGCCCCATGTAGAGAGCATTACAGTAGTCCAGGCGGGAAGTGACGAGGGCATGAGTGACTGTGTGTAGGGAGTCCCGATCCAGAAAGGGACGCAACTGGCAAATCAGGCGAACCTGATGAAAAATCCTCCCGGTCACGGCTGTCAAGTGCTCTTCTAAAGACAGCCGTGAATCCAGGAGGACACCCAAGTTCCGAGCCCTCTCCGTGGGGGCCAGCAATTTGCCCCCAATAGTCAGCGATGGCATCAACAGACTATATTGGGATGTCAGAAGACTGCTTGAAGTCTTATAGGCAAAGGTTATGTTTGTGTATGTTACAGTATGTTTGAGTGTTCATCTATAGGTAGATAAAGATAGGGAGAAAGGTAGATAGGTAAGTTGGTAAGTATGGAGAGGGAGAGATGGGAGAGGAAGGGAAGGAGGGAGGGAGAGGGAGAGGCAGAGGGACAGAGGGGGGTGGAAGGAAGGGAGGGAAAGAGATAGGGAGAGGAAGAGGGAGGGGAGAGGGAGGGAGAAGGAGAGGGAAAGAGAAAGGAAGGGGAGAGGAAGAGAGAGAGAGAGGAAGGGAGAGAGGGAGGGAGGGAGAGGGAGGGAGAGGGAGAGGGGAGGGAGAGAGGGGGTGGAAGGAAGGGAGGGAAAGAGATAGGGAGAGGAAGAGGGAGGGGAGAGGGACAGAGGGAGAAGGAGAGGGAGAGAGAAAGGAAGGGGAGAGGAAGGGGGAGAGAGAGGGGGGAGGGAGAGAGAGGGGGAGGGAGAGAGAGAGGGAGAGGGAGAGAGATTTTAATTTGTGTTAGTACTTTAATACGTCTCAAATCTACATGAATAATTGGTGGTGCAAAGACGCATAGACTTCTCTATTATGGAAATGTTATATCCTCTGTATATTTATGCAGCAAAGACACCTAGATTGTAATTCAATACACAGTGTAGAATCACTGTGTATTTTCCACTGGAGATTTGAAAATCTGTTTCTGTTCTGCGGTGCCATTTAAAACATGCAGTACAACTGGGATATATTGCATGTATAACAATAATTGAAGCTAGTTTCTATAGCAGGCTCTCTAAAGAATGATAGGTTTTCCTAGCCCAGAACAAACAAATCGGAGGAGATTAATAAACACTTCTCTTCAATAATATCTACACATTTTGAATGGATACATTGACGAACAATAAATAGAATTGACCGGTTCCCTACAGAAGTTCTCATCAAAATGCTAAGTTTGATTTCTAGTATTTTGTATTGTACTTTATGTAGCATTATAGAGCATCTGGCTGTATTTGAACCTCATTGGCTTAACATAACCATTTCATAAGGCAAATGATTATTACTGGCCTGCAAACCTTTTGAGAGATTGACCCAAGCCAACTTCTATCTAAAAAGAAAGAGTGGTTAAGATTCACAATATGCTTTTTTTTTTTTTTTAATATTCTCATTCTACATCGGCAGGAACCAGAGTCAACAGTCAACAGAATTTTCAATCAAATCTAAAGCTCTGAATAGATCCTCAGAGCAACTCAATTTCTGATTATTTCACCAAACTCTCAAAAACCCTGGACTTTCTGTACTCAAATTGTAGCTGCAATATATCAGCCAAGCTGTCGGAATGAGAGGCAATAGAGGATGACATTAGATATTGCAAAGCCATCATGGCTGGCAAATTTTGTCACTGATTTGGACACTTATACAACTCAACCATCAGATATGTGGAGTGTTTCTTAAAACTTGACAGAGATACTGTGACAGGCTCAAGAAGTGTTGGAAAGCCTTAGCTGAAGAGCTTAGTAAAATATAGCTTAACTTTCCATTGAGTTACCATGAGTTCCGGTGACATCACAAATTAAAGTAAGTTCGAATCTCGCCAGGCTCAAGGTTGACTCAGCCTTCCATCCTTTCTAAGGTAGGTAAATTGAGGACCCAGTTTGTGGGGGCAGTAAGCTGACTTTGTATAAATATACAAAAGTATGAAGGCTATTGCTTAACGCACTGTAAGCCGCCCTGAGTCTCCGGAGAAGGGCGGCATATAAATCAATTTTTTAAAAAAAATGTATTTTGAGGGCAAGGAGATGGATGAAACTGCACCAGTGACAGAAAAAAAATAAAACAACAGAGTTGGAAGGGACTTTGGAGGTCTTCTAGTCCAATCCCCTGCTCAAGCAGGAGAACCTGTATTTCAGACAAATGTTGTCCAATCTCTTCTTAAAAATCTCCAGTGTTGGAGCATCCACAACTTCTGGAGGCAAGTTGTTCCACAGATTAATTGTTCTAACTATCAGGAAATGTTTCTTTTGTTTTTTGTTGGTTGTCTCCTTGATATCTATGGATATTCTCAGTCCTCCAGGTCATGCTTGTCCTAAAGGTGCTTTTTCAAGAGTCAACTGAGCCTTGGTGGCACAGCAGACTAAAGTGCTGTTAAATAGCACCAGCTGTCTACAATTACTGCAAGTTCAAATCTCACCCGGCTCAAGGTTGACTCAGCCTTTCATCCTTTCGAGGTAGGTAAAATGAGGACCCGGTTTGTGGGGACAATAAGCTGACTTTGTATAAAATAGAACACTGCTTGGGGGGCGAAAGCCCTACTAAGCAGATATATACAAAAATATGAAGGCTATTGCTTAAAAGCATTGTAAGCCGCCCTGAGTCTCCGGAGAAGGGCGGCATATAAATCGAACCAATAAATAAATAAATAAATAATAAATAAACTGGACTTCCTGGCTTTTCTCTTAAGACGTATCGCTTCTCATCCAAGAAGCCTCTTCATCTCCTTAAAGAAATGTCTTCAAAGAAAAAACAGAAAGTCCAGCTGCTTCTTTAAAAAGAGGACTTTTGGGTCCTCTCCTTGATATCACCTAAGTTTTGGATTCTTCCTTTCCTTTCATTTATAAAACTTGTAGATCTTTTTAGAATTTTATTTTCAAATCAGGTTTTTCAAAGAATGATTAATTTTCATCAGGTCATCCCTTTAAATTATCCTCCCTTCTCTTCCTTCTCTTCATTTGATGGGGAATTATCCTTCATCCCAAAGTATCTTCTCTAATTATTCCAGTTTACAGTCTCAGATAATTGAGCTGCAAATCTGTCCGTCTCTTATTTAAATCTTGACTCCGGGTGCAGCTTCTTAGTGTCTTTAGGAATCCATGTTCCTCCAGCCGGCCTCAGTTCTCCATCTGCATTGTTAGAATCGTGAAGTTAATAATAACACCAGCACCGCTTTGAATGGAGCAGCCAGACAACATTACATAAACTACACAGAATCCTCCAGAGTGTTGTAAGAAAAGTTTCTTCCTCACTTTTCTCTTTCTCTTCTTCCCTGATTTTGACAGCACATCTTTCTCTCTGGTTATGTTATTTTCTTCTGCTGTCAGTGAGCTGCAACCATTTCTCGGCCAAGGTCTCAATATTTGGAGTGGTATTTGCTTCCCAGTTTTTACAGCATTAAGCAGTTGGTGACAGCTTCAACTTTACAATTTCAGCCCATCTGGCCACAGCTCCGTTTCCATACAGATGATAAGCACAACAATATCCAGCAAGTCACACACTTCAAGATTTCTACTGAGCTGGTTTGTATAGATTCCTCAACTTTGGCATGAAATTGGCTCCCACGAGATAGCTCCAGATTGAATCTGGTAGCTTTGCTGTTCCATCTTAGTACATGTCACCCATAGTCCAGATGACTTTCTTATAGAATAGATATCTGCCTATGGGAGTTGGAGAAAGATAAAACTGTATTTAAAATTCAGCCTCTCCTCCTCCTCCTCCTCCTCCTCCTCCTCCTCCTCCTCCTCCTCGTTCAGAACCAACGACATTTTGGTTCTGCTCCTCCTTCTACTTTTCCTTCTGTTTCTGCTCCTCTTTCTGCTTTTCCCTCTCCTTCTCTTTCAACTTTCTTCTTCAAATCATACAGGACTATACTGCAAAAACAGGGGGAAGAATGTTAATCATCTGTCTCCAAGCAAGAACGATCAATGTGTATTTACAATATATTGTAGCTTTGGACAACAGCTAGTTAAATAAGAGGTCACCAGTTAAGGAAATTACCAAAAGCTCAATAACTATGTTGTATCAGGACAACTAAGTTAGCTGATGGTCCCTGGAGGGAGACTAGGGAACAGAAGCAAATGGTTGAAGGTGATAGACACTGAACAACATTTAAAAACTCAAATGGGATCTTCTAAGAAAAATATCTAGCTGCAGGTATTTCTCAGGTATTTAACAATACCTTAGCAAGTCAGATTACAAGTTAGGTTGGTACTAAAAAACAATTTAACAACCTTTGAAAGGTCCCAAAAGTGTTTTCATAAGAGGCAACTGGAATTCCTTGGGTTTTTTAGGCAAACATTTTGCTTC